GATTACTGTTTGTTGATGACAATTCTTTACTTGACTTTGAAGGAACTGGTGGCAATTTGCCCGATCCACCTCCGAATGCAAGCGCTGCAGACGCTACGATGGTTCCTGAAAAACCGACAGTGGGTGACTTTGTTTAAAATTTGATTGATTCACGCAGTGACCAGATGCAAACGCAAACAGATTGTCTAGAAAATTGAATTGAACATTGAAATCAAAGAGTCAAAGGCAACAAAACCGGTTCACTCTCATTTGTTTCAATATTGAATGGTCACTGTTTGTTGCTGACAACTGACCTGAAAGTGTTAAGCCAATAAGGTGAGGAAGCACCACCCAACGCGGAGAAACCTGAAGGAGACCAGACTGGACACGGACTGACAGAATGACTGACTGTCAAACTGATTTGACCAACTCGAGACGACGATTTATAACAATATTAGTCACTGACATAGAAAATTTATATTCTGAATTAATATATATTTCATTAAACCTGATCCACTGGTCGCTCATGTTTGGCCCGATTTATGTCCGCAGGAGCAGCTGCCTTGAAGTCAGCTGCTGAAACCACTGCAGCACCAGCGGCGCCGGCGCCCAAGGGAAAGTTGAACTTTCCCACTCCTAAGCGCAAGTGAGTGGCAGTGGGATTGGTGTGCACTGACTGATTCCTGGGGGTGGTCACGAGGAAGGGGGTCTCATCCATTTTTGCTGGTATTTACAGGGGATCTGAGGTGAGACCCCCTTCCTCATAACTGCTCTGAGGAGGGTACCACCACAGTACATTACTGCACCCCCCAGAGTAGTAGAAACCCTCAGACTCTGTTTGTTCATCATTAACAATGTATGCACTAACAACGATGTTAGTGTTCAACACGACCACTGACTGATTAGTGTCAACGGCATAATCCGTCACGTGTCTCGAAACGTTCACCTTCACCACACCACAGACGCAAGGAGTCAGTGCACTGTCATGCGAACCTTGTGAAGGACCTTGCCCTGGCTGATTGATTCTGAATTAGCATTGCTTCAATAGTCAATCCAACAAATTCTAATAACTACTAATTATGTGAATTTAACAGAATTCAGAATCAATCAAATAGATCTGAATCACCGGCCAGTGAAACACCATTGTAGTAGAACCACTCATCGTCACACGCAAGCCATACATTACGATACAAAGTTATGGACTGCTGGTTGTAACTGAGTAACTTTACGATGGTGAATCAGAATTAGCCACTACGATGATTTGTACCGGCCTGTTCAGTGGCTAGTGAGAGAATTCTCACGTTCACCTATAATACTATTATTTATAGTGCACCACACATATGACTCAATGACATACCTGTTGAATTGTTTGTCATGAGTGAACTGGTTAAATTTCTTCAATGAACACAAACATTAACACAATACAGATACCTCCCACTAGCAAGGCTGCGGCATAAATGAGCTAGCAGCAGCAGGCCTGATCCGTGACCAGTGAGACCTCGCTGTATATTTGAATTGCTGCTGAAGCCAATATTATTATTAATGATGTGGATACAAATAAACCACCAGCCAGCCAGTGGCAGCTTGGACAAGCCACGAAGAAGTCTAGGTCAGTGAGGCCAGCAGCAGGTGCAGTCAGCGTTGCAGCGTCCACCACTGGAAGCAAAAGTAATTGGAGCCCTGAGCCGTGCGTTTGACGTGTGGCGGGGGCTGTGCGGGAGTCGGAGTCGGAGAATCACTGACTGACTGAGTGTAAGTACTAACACTATCTAATTATGCTAGACTAGCTAGCGGCAGGCAGCCTGCATGCAGGCTAAGAATGAATGTCACGTTGTCGTCATAACAACAATCAATAATACTACGACTACTACTACTACTACTACTACTACTACTAACTTGAAACATACTATTGTTACGGTTGGTTGTCGTGTCGTATGATTGTTTGATTCGGAATTTGAACGTCGCTATTTTTCTAATCAGAAAGCAAATCATATCTGATTGTCTGTCAGTAGTACGGAGTCTTAAGTTGCGCCGGGATCTCTACAGCCATGGCCGACAATCCCGGGTCACCACGGCCCCGTCCCCAGATGAATGTCGGACCAGTGACCCCACCCCGTGTTTGGTCACCGTTGTCCTTGCTGCGTGCGAGTTGTGGACCAGGCTTTCCAGCCCCGTCAAATCCACAAGGAATTCATCAGAAGCACTTGCTGAGAACTCCATCGCCAGGTGGGACACGAGTGACACATTATTTGATGACCCCACCGCGGCCGCGGCAAGTGCCAGAGAATATGCTCCAAGGTGCTGATCCGGCTCCTCCGAAAGCAGCTGCGCCAGCGCCACGACCCGCACATCAAGAGCAGCAGGATGAGGAAAATGACATTGACATGGTTGCCCTGAATCCTCAGCCAAACAACATGGTCCAAGTTGAGAACATGGGGCAACCTGAGGAATACATGATGATCGATGAGGTTCAGTTGATGGTTCAGGACAATATGGACAACCCAGATCCTCAGCCAGTTCTTGTCGAGGGCATGGTGAACAAATCGTCCCCCAGTCCTCGCACAAAGAGTATGAAGGAGAACATTGTCAATACTCCCAGTCCGAACTCAATCGACAAGAGTATCATCATCGAGGATGGGCCTATCACTGTTTTGGACTTTGACGACATCCAGACTCCACCTTCTCCGATCACTCCGAAGACAACTTCTACCAGTTGCAGCCCCCCCGAATTCAGAAGATTCAGGGAAAACACGTGGTAGTATTGGTGCGTCGATCTACAAGCCTGGTGCAGTGAAAAAAAACTGGATCTGACTTTGAGCTGGAATCACCCGTCAAGTCTGACGCTTCCAGCTGGGACAGTGTCGCTGGTCGAATCAGGAAGCGCAAGGCCCACCAGGAGGCCAACGAACAAGGTTGTGCCAAGCTGCTGAAGTCGTTGGAACAGCGCTCCAACAGCCACCGGCAGAACCAATCTCCTGAGGACAAAGGAAAGGGTGCATCATCAGACCAGATGGCCACTTGCAGTGGAAAACCTCCCTTGACCTTCAAAGTGGAAAAGAAGCGGAACATGGGTGAATCTTTTTCATTGTCATCAGGTGCACGTAAGAAACCACGTTCGAACCGCTCTGGCTCTGGGAGTCATTCAGTTCATGAATATTTTGACAAGAGTGTCTAACTACGACACCTGACCTGAGTGGGACTTGTTACGTGAGCCATTTGCAGCCCGAATTTGTCGTCTTCAGTCGAATGACCCAAACAGACTAGTATTCCAAGACGTTCGTTGTTTTCATGGATGTTTGTGTATTTGTTCGGGGTAGAATTAGGCTGACTTATGATATGAAAATGCGTTCACCAAGATCCCTAAATTAAATTGATGCAGTGGCAGTTGAATGCATTTTGCAATGCCTATGCATCCACTTAGCAAACAGTGAAGTACGCAGTCGGAATCTGACTGTTCATCGACGACGGAGAGCGATGCCAGGAATCAGGAATTTGATTCAACTTAGTTCAGGCGAGCGTCCGGGTCAAAGAAACATGAGCGCACACCAGCCCAAACTGCAGACTATGCAATACCGTACCTGATCGATTGGCGCGCAGCAACGATTCAAATTCGGTCGAGGTCTTCAAGGGAAGTCATGTGTCATTTGAGAGTTATGAGTTCAAATAATTCTTTGGGTGGTCCTGGAATCGAATCGATCAGTAGTGGTCGTCAGTCTGTCAGTCACTCCGAGTCCTCACTATCGATTCGAATGTTTTAATTTTATGTGTTTTTTTACTAATTTACTGAATGCGGCATGATCTTAGGAACTTCCGGTCAACGCACGCTTGGCCGATGCATTGGCGAGGCAGACCCTTGGCTTACAATAGTTTGTGACTCTTTTGGACATTTGATTGCGACGACATTACAAGGCCGCCGTATGATAATCATAACTTGTGAATATTTAAATATGTCATGTCATTCAATTCAACTCCGTCGATTCGTTGGTCCGATTGATAAGATGCAATGTCTATTTGTTTAATACTATACTATTATTATCTCAAATTTCTGATCAATCAATAATTTGCATAATGGATCAAACACATGACAAAACAAACCCAGGTCATTGGGCGACCGGCATGATCTTGACCCGCCAACTACAATTTCTGTTCGTGACCGGCAATCAATCAAGGGTATGCTTGCCTCTCGTCTTGTATCTATATCAGAGACCAGACAGATTATTAATTAATTAAATTGATTGACAAACATGAATCACAGACTGAGACGGACCGACGATGACGTAGGTTAGAGTCATGGCCCTAGCTCTAGCTGAGGGGCCCAGCATGAATGGTTGGTCAAAGACAGAACATCTAAATCTAAAATCATGTGGTGTGGTTGATTCCTGAGTCAGGGTGATGACCCCTAGACAGCCAAGGCTTTGGCACAAGGGCTCAACAATTCTTTGAAAAGTGCCTGGGGCAGAGAACTGACGGACTTGCCACTTGGCCTTGGAACTTGGTAGGTTTACTCTACAATCGTCATCTTGAATCACATTGAAGACAGTTTGATTGACCATATCTCGCATTATTATTACGTTTGAATCTTGGCTCCCATACAATACATTCAGTCGTCCAAGTTGCAATTGGCAAAGGAAGCCTGAGCACCGCCTTCTGCCTGGAGGGATTCTGAACGCGGAGACAAAGTTGGTGCCGGAGAAGCTCGAACAGCGAACGTTTTTGACGGTTGCCACTTGTCGTCCGATTAGTTTGATTCAAGCAACAATTACTTTGAGTATGAATCATGTCACCTGCCCAGCCGACCGTTTGTATCAATTGTCAATTGTCAATTACGGACCTAAGCTATACTGCCTGCACATGTCACTGTTTGCGTCGCCCCTGTTTTCAGTAACCAGCAATCAGCCTTGAAACCAACACTCGCATTAACTTGACAACTGACTCACTGCAACCATCTTGATAGCGAGGCCGCTGACGAAGAATGTCTCCCCTTTAAGCTCATTTATGCACTTTGTCACGAGCAGGGCGGCATGAGACTATGGATTCAACCAGAAAGCTGCCATTCCTGTTGGAATGACTGCCGCAACGCCCTCAGGCGTGCGAATCTCCAACATGTCACCTTGCTCAGCGCGACCATGGTCAACGTCCAACATGGACCATATAAAGGAGGGAAAAACAAGCAGAGGATCAAGGAGTCAGCGGAATTCTACGCAATGACCGCGACCAACGAAGACTTCCAGAACCTTTTAGACTTGATGTTGGCCGACCGCTGCCTTGAGGACACGGACGAGGGCGATGAGACATTGCCCCACGACAAGTCAGACATTCCAAGTCTGAATTGTGTGACAACCTTGCCTCCATATGTGACTTGACTGACTGTCAATTTATTTGATCGTTTTGGTTGGGAATGACAATGATATGAATATTCATCTCACGACTACTGTTTGACTGATTCAATACATTGGGATAAGTGTCACAATTGTAAGTAAGGTCAAGACAAAATCATGGTTCGCATCGCTGGCGTGCCTGAAGTTGCTCTGCGACAACTGGAGCTTGATGAGCACCCTCTTTGACATAGCTATCGCCAGTGAGGCTAACCTGGCCAGTCTGGGCCGAGACACTGACACTGATCATTTGCTTTAGAACCGGTCCTTTTGGCTAAACAGTTTTTTGTTTTTAAGACTGACTACTAGTTTACTAGCTGTACAAATGTAGATTTTACGACTCCTGCTGTTAGTTATTATTATTGTTAGACTACATTTAAGTTATTATTGTTGTTGTGTAGTAGGATTCCAGTATTTGGTCGTCTCTAGTCTGAGTCTGGTCTAGGATTAGTAAGATCTAATGAATCGATTCACCTGTCTGTCTGACAGTCAGTGAGGATGGCCCCTGGATGTTTGATGGAGAGCCAGACCTATCCGAGGGGGAAGAGGAGGGCAACATGGGCGAGGATGAATCCGCCAAGCGACCAGCAAGTGATGAAGCCACCAGGCAGCCTCAATCAGACAGGCCGTTTGATAAGACTACATTGCAGCAGCTGCGTGAGCGCTTTGACAATACCTTGTGCCTGGTTGCTCACTTATACCACGACTTGGCATTGAGGGATGACTGCCGTATGTGCTACATTGCCACAAAACCGTACATGGATGAATACAACTTCAGTCTCGAATGCCAAAAATCTCAGGATTGTGGGTTGTTTTAAAATATGTTTTTTTTGGCTTGGACTCTCTCAGTCAGTCTAACTTAACTTCACTCAGCCAATGAACCAGTGGTTTCAATGTTTCCTATGCCATGGACGAAATCATGTCACCATTGCAAGCAGGAAGCTTCATTGAAGTGGCAAGCGCGTCGATGTGGTGGCCAATGGTTCCAAACAATCCTGAGTAGCATTGGGACTCTACATGACAATTCAGCGCTGGGTCAGTTTCTCTCTGTGGGGATTGGGCCACTGGAAGAAGAGGAGCGGCTCGTGGATTGGTTTCAAGATGAATGTACACGTCTTGACCAGTATGTCAATTTGCTGGTTGAACTTGCATCTGGGAGGGCTTGGTCACAGTCGTTCTTTGTGAACTGTTCACCCAACAACTTTGTTGGGGTACTACATGAGGATCGAGCCATTGCAAAACAGCTCTTGGCCTTCCAGAAGAAAGTGTGGGACGCTGTGCTGCATGCCGAGCAGCTCGTGCTGACACATAAAGCCAGTGCCGTGGTCAAAGCTCAGGTCAAAGCACGCCTGGACGACATTTGCTGGAATCAGCTACAGCTATCCAGAGAATTATATGTTCACTGTTGCGTGCGTGGCTGGCACTCTGAGGATGAGGATTTGCTACAATGCGCGCGCAATGTGCATGGCGGACCTTGTAATACAAAGTTTGACCTGGAAGATGCGTTTGCACACCTGTCCTCTGTTGCCAAGAGCACCAACAAGACCAGTCCTATGAACAAGTCGCCCGGAACAAAAGAACATACTTTTGACTGACTGTCAGTCTGATGAGAATACAACAAACCAAAACTAGTGATCAAATTATCGAATCTTTGATTTAACTACTTTTATTACATGTTCAGTGAGTCCAACGGCTGGTTAATGGTCCATGGTGTAGTGTAGTCTAGTGTCTCTCGTGTTCTCACAGATTCCGACCTTCACTAATTAAGGTGGACTCGATTCTTCTACGCCTCAGCGTTACCATCATTGAAGCAGTCTGAGAAGTTTCAATGGCCACAGGTCACCACTACCTTGGAAGATCACTTGATGTACCCCCGGAATGTTCTGACTCGAGAATCTGGCAAAGCATTCCGATCTACTTCACATCCTCTTCCCGTTGGCATCAGGAAGGCCATTGTGAACATGAAGCTAAGCCATGTGAAGAAGGCTGGCACAGCGAGCAACCAACGGGCAAGCGCAGCCTCTGCGTGGCTGGCGAACCATGTCTCCAGCAATTTTGCGAGCGCACCCATGGCATGGACAGGCCACATGACGTGGGGATGGAAGTGTGTTTTCAGGCTTTAAGCATATGTCCGGTCAAGCTGTCCCTCTCCTAATCCACATTCATTCCACTATCTTTCAGTTTTGCTACATTTCAGTTATGCCAGGGTTTCCACGAAGACACACACATTATTGAAACATGAATCAATCTTTGAACAGGATGTTTCTTTGTCAAGGGCCACGTCTTCGGGTATAGAGTCTCTGAAGATGCCAGCATTGACCGTGCTGTCTTGAGTCTAGGGTTCAGAACTTGCGCTGCTCTTGGCCTCCGCATGGTAAAGCATTCAGTGGGTGAATCAGAATCTTGTTCAAAACAAGTACTCTTGTCAACTTGTGTTTGTGGTGTGAGGGACCGTTAGTCTTATTACTATCTAAATTACTTATTGATATAAAGACGACCTCACTGAAAAATCACAATTGCATCCGCAATGCCATCGGAGGATTTCTGGGTCTTTGATCTGCAGCCCAAAACAATGACACCGACTTGGTTGTTTAACAACTCCCTGGATCTTGGCTCATCCACCACGGGACATTGGTTGCATTTACCGGTGAAGGTTCTCCATCCGGCCTTGCTGCCAGACGCTTTGAGGGACGAGTATACAGTGGCTTTTCTTCAAACAGCACCAGCAGAATCAGTGGTGGTGGGTGGCATCAAAAGCGGAGTTTTTTTGAACCGAAATCAGCTGGAGAAGATACAGAAGCACTTCAAATGTCCCCTTCCAAAGAAAGGGGAAGGACACGGGAAAAAGGGATCCCTTGTGAAAAGGGACTACGTTGATTCTGTGCTCAACTACATCTTCCCGGAGGCGAGTGATTCCGAACGGAAGGCTATGTTCGATGGCCTGATGGGAGGCAATTGGACGCACTTGCGGCGGGACAAGACCAGCCAGCATGGCCCCGATATTCTGAGGGCATTCCAGCATCTTGATCCGGAAGATCAGCATGAGTTTGCCGGGCTTGCGCAGGTTGCAATGGATGAAGAGATGTTGTGGAAGCATCGCAACAGTCAGCCACAACGACCCAGTGGATTGACGTATGCTGGGAAGAGGCATGAAACACCAAAGAGCCTGCAAGATTTGTATCCTGATGCACCAAACTGCCGCATCACCAGACACCCCGTCTTGAAGCGGTACCAAGGATTCTACACAGTACCAGCAGGCACCGTCATCAAAGAAGGTGATGAGCCTGGTTCCTTTGAACATCAATCAGAGTAGTTGTGTGTTTTTATTGGTTGAGAGTCAAATCTGTCTGTCTGTCATGTCACTGACTGACTGACTGACCCGGGACGGGACTCCAGTATGAATTACTAAATTACAAACAACAACTAACTATTGCCATGAGAGGCAGTCATGTGGTTGGCCTCCAATTGATTTGACCCCTGAAACATGCCACGTGACGTCTAACATGGCTTAGGTTCGACTGCCAGACAGTACTCCCACGCCACGTACTGGCACGGAAAGAAGAAGCGGATGAGCGAGCGTGAAGCACTTGCCGAAGTTGTTCGTTGGATGTGGCGAGTGCACTCTTCAGCATGTCCATCCTCAACCGAAGTGGAGTGCCCTAGTCAATTTAGCTCAGCTGTGATGTTTCATTTCGACGATAGTGATGTCATGAACTTTTCAGTGCCAGTGTACTGACTGATTGATGTTGGTAGCAGCACTTTGCCGTGCGCCAATTCGTTTAGTTTACTTACTGGGTCGCCGTTTTGTTTCATGAGTACGCAAGGGTTCGCCTGAGGCCGAAAGATGATGATATTACAGCTGTTGTGTCAGCATTCGATGAGCGCACAGGTTTCAAAGCCGACACTTCTTCGTTGAAGACGAAGGAGGGATCCAGTGCTTCTTCGTTGAAGACGGAGGAGGCACCCAGCGCATCACCCAAAAAGGGTGTGAAGAAGGACAAGCTCAAGAAGAAGTGAAAAAAATAACAGTGTGCGTGTCATTTTCGAGAGACCTAGAGCTTTCAATGAGTCGTAGAAGAGATGAGAGGTCCTTCTAGTAACAAAAGCTTATGATCAAGGATCTTCTAGGGCCCAAATGCTTATGATCAAGGGGGTCTCCCCGAAGGGGGTCTCTCATCTCTTCTATGATGTCATTCAATCATGTCAATCGAGCTCGTGTATTCCTCTTCGTGCTGTCCCACTCACGCAACATGAGAAGGATGGGAACGTCCAGCCCAAGAAGCAGCGATGCGACAGAGAAGTTCAGGTGAGTCTGAGACGAGCCAAGATGCTGAACTTGTGAAGTCTGAGTCGTGTAACAGTAATTTTTCTCAGCAGGAAGATGCTCTCAGCACCTAAACTCCTAGACCTAGGTGTCCGATCGCTTGGTTTGTCACGTGGCCGGCACGATCGCCCATTCCTTCGTTGCAGCCATTTGGCTCCGGCCGGGACTCGGGACTCACCGAGCGATGCTGGGGCACTTGTGGCTTTCGCTCCTCGTGGGAGCAGCGGCACAGGTCGAAGTCAATGAAGCAAGAGCCTGAGTCAATGAAGTCATGAAACGATGGAATATTCTTGGCACAGATGTGCAGCATCTCGTAGCATGTGGTTCTCACGGTGTGAGATCAAGTGTGCAAAATTGCAAAGGTGGGGCTCAGTTTGGCAAAGGCTGCAAGCTCAGACTTCACACCTCCATGTAAGATGGTTGATGAATTTTGCAACTGGAGATATCTGGAGATCTTAGAGCTGAGTGGATCGTGTGGGAAATCCGTCCCCTTGAGAATCACCACAGGACAGCATGGGGCAAACAAAAGAAGAACACCCAGAGGGAGAGAGAGAGAGAGAGTTAGAGAGAAGGGTGGAGAGAGAGGGGAGAGGGACGGCGCATCTGCCGCTTATGAGCATTAGGAAGATACTCTGGACATGTATAAGCAAAATGACAACGTATGTAAGTGGCCAATTTTTCTCCGTCCTGTCCAGGCCTTTGCTGCCTCCTCTGTTCAGGCGCATGTCGACATCGCCACTGGGACAGTTTGGAAGTACGCATCCATGATGATCCATGTTTGTTTGGAGAGGTTTGCCCATGCCATGCAAGGGAATCACCGATAGAAAAGCTTGAAAGAAAGCAAGCGGTCTCACTCCGTTTTCAAGCGCAAACACATCCTAAGAGTTCGAAGAGAAGTGCCTGGCACGCGTATCAAATTGAATGGGACGGATCATACTGATCACCAAGCTGAGGCCAAGATGACCGGTGATTTGATGGCGAAGCAGAAGCAGTTGAGCACGGCCAAGCTGAAGGTCGAGCAATTGATCACAGAGGCGTCAGAAGTCGGCATAGCCTTCTTGGCAGTGCTGATGAGATGCCTCGAATGAAAGTCGTACCAAGTCAATGGAACTTCCTGATGCCTACATCAGACCAAGTCCTTTTTGTGAGATGATTCGGAGACAAGCATGCTGCTGCTAGGAGAGAGCCTTTGCCAAGCGTACTGACCTCTTGGAGCAGCAGGAATCCAGGCCTCCTGTGGACATCGGTTTCCGTTTATGGCAGAAACAGGCGGTTCCTCAACATCAGAGGGCCTGATAGAAAGCCGCCGCCAGACTTGAGATTGGTGTTTAGATCAGACATGATCAGACATTTCACCATGTGAACCGTGAAAAAGACGGGCCGCGGCCGCGGCCAATTTCAGGCGCTTCCAGGTGAAGAAGTTGTTGAGGTTAGGTTTGCCATGTCAGAGACAAGGGCTGTTGACGGAAATCATCTGGCATTGGCATAACCATATCCAACAACGTTCCGGTCCCTTTGTCGACAGCGCAGCCCGAGGCACTCAATAGGAACGGAATCTGGCGCCCAGCAATTGACATTCCACTACTTTACTACCCGATTCTTACTCCCCCCCCCCCCCCCCCCGGGCAGCTTCTGCAAACACTCAAGATGAAAGTGGCCCGAGCCTTTTCTATGTGTTTTTTCTGTCCATGGAGATCTCTCCCGATGTGAGGATGGAGGAGATGTTGAAGCTTCATGGCAGCGTTTCAGAGAAGGCTTCTCAGGCCAAGGCGCGGCAAAGTTTCTGTACCCAGGATTACCAGATGTCAGATGAACCAAGTTAGTTGGGAGGCCAAGGCTCAGGCCTTTCAGAAGCAAATGCTCTCACAAGAGGCCGAGGTGAAGGCTTTGCAGGAGGCGCACACAGGATCGTGACGCATCAACAAGAATAGAGAGAAACAGTTGCTGCGTACTGTAAATTCATGCCGCTGATTCCCTCCAAGAACAAAAGGCCGCTTCTTGAGGTTTCCTGGTATTGATGTGCCCTATCAGATGCTATCATTGCATTCACAGGTGCAAGAACAGCGTAAACATGTTGTATACAGAAGCACTCGTGAGCAACTGATGGGAGGCTATCAAGAGCCAAAGTTCATTGCTGAAGTCCAGTGAGGCCAGAAATGACATTAGGTTCGGTGTGCTTTTGTTCGTCCAGGCCAAATAGGCCAGCCATTGCTCCATGCCGTCCAGCCTCACTGCAGGAGAAGCTTCAGCTGTTGAAGCAAAAGGAAGATGATTACAGTCATGGAGCACGCTTGGCAGTCTTGAAGAGTAATAAGTTGGAACGGGATCTGAAGGATGCTCGTGCCTCGTCGATGTTTTATGCCTTGGCTTTTCTACTAGGCTACTAGTAGACCTAGTAATGTCCTCCTCCAAGCAGTAGGCGTTCATCACTGTGCTCGTCCAAATTCAGCAGCTATACAATACTTACTATAATTACCTACTTGCGGGCATCTTGCAGGCTTGAACAAGGTTATGGGTGAGAGGAGGCCGCATGTTTCCACCAGTGCAAGGTACTGGTATGTCCTCTTTGTGGGTTACCCTGTTAGCTTGCTTCCTTCTATCATTTGTTTGCCAAACTTCTGCAGTTTCATCTAGCCCTTTGAATTACACATCGTTCTTGCAGTGATTCTGCCCAGGCATTGAGTTGGAGAAGCTTTTCAGCAAGCAGACTCCGCTTCTGTTTCGCTTGCACTTGGTCAAGCGAATGACAACCCTTCGTTCACTTAGGAAAAAGAAGGCAAACTTTACGGAGCAGTCCGCTCCCAAGAGCAAGGACGAAACGAACAGGACTCCTGGCCTTACTCCTAGGAACAAGAAGCTACTAGGGGCTCCTGGCATCGCTACTAGGAGCAAGGACACTACCTGTGAGTGAAGTTTCGCAGAGTTAAGTGGTTTAGCTCGTTGGGATGTCACAAAGTTTGCCCCTCCTTAGGCACGAGGTGGCGGAGATAGCTGCTGCAAAACGAGATTCAGTTCACCGAATTCAAGAGCATCAGAAGGATTCGGATCCTGAGCTACTTGCACGCTGAAGCTCATGAAGTCCTCATAGTTTACCCCCAAGAACTGTCAGAATAAAATGCTAAAAATGCCGCAAGGCAAGAGCAAACCGGCTGACCCTGTTCTCGTGAGTCCAGAGCGCAATCATGTGCAGGAAGAAAATGAGGAGAGCTCACAATGGATTGCAGCACACCGAGGCAGGAGCCGTTTTGCAAGGATTCACCTCCTATCTTGGTGAGTTGCAGGCGAGGCGACTGTCATAAACGAGCAGACAATATCCATGGCGGAGAACGATGTAGAGAACGCTAAGCACCTCAGCATCGAGGGGTGAACACGCGGCAGATCATGGCTATAGTCCAAAATAGTCAGGTTGGCAATTTTGCTTCTTTGACCGCATCATGCTTTGAGCCACCTCCGGTAGACGGAAGAGTTAAGGTGATTTGGGTTATGTTATTCTGCCAGCCTATAAGACCTAGTCACTAGTCTAAATACATACTATAGTTAATCTTGCTTAGCAATGCAAGACTTGCTCAGGGAGTTGCTGAAGCAATCACGTCAGAAGACCAAGGACATGTTTCCATGCCATAGTTTTTTGTGGAACAACCGGCTGAACAGGGGCAGGCAATGAAACCAAAGCCGATGGAATGCCGAACGAAGATGGAATTGTTGTATGATTGCTGAAAAGACTGGGTTGTGGACACAAGAAGCAGTTCCGTAACCAGCACAGTTGGCTCGCATGCACTTCAGAGTTCCTCACGGTCCTAACGAAAGCACTTTGCATGCATTGCCAGGAGCAAGCTGAAGCCAATGCCAAGGCAGTGGCGCAGCAGCGGCAAAAGTTCCTAGAGTGGGAGATGGCCTCTGCAGAAGCCATGAAGCAGGCGACCAAAACTGCTGGCTGGGGGGCGGCCGGGATCAAGAGTTTCAGTGAGTTTGTGGAAGTTGCCTACTGCACCTTGCCAGGCGCAGGCACAGCTACAGTCTGCACGTGAGGACCCATCGCATCTTTGGGTGTGCTCCTTTCTGAGCTGCATCGTGTTTCTTTGTCTCCCTAGCAGGATCAAGAGAAGGCTTTGGCAGCTGCCAGCAGGCGCATCCAAAGCAGCCTCACAGATGTCAACGCAGCTGAGAGGACTGAACTTGCAAAGTGCCATGGGTCCAGAGGAACTGCCAAACGGACAATCGCATTTCTTTCGTTGTTTTTTTGGTTTCTCCTGTTGGGATTGACATTGCCAGGACAATGAGGGCGAAGTCTGAATTGAAATCCGTGAACGCAAAGCTCGCAGAGGAGGAGAAGAAGTTGAAGCAGCAACATCTCGAGAACAAGGCTCAACGAGCGGCAGCCTGGAAGGATTTTGCTTCTTCGGAATTTCTGTCGCGAAAGGCCAAAGCCCAGGAGATCTCCAAGGAGACGGCCCAGATGGACGCAACGAAGAAGAAGCATGAATCTACCATGAAGCGCACTGCCAAAAATGAATTAGTCAAGTGCTTTCTCCTCTTGATGGCCTCGCTTTGGAAAACGCCTGTAGTCAAATTGATTGAACTCAGGTTTTGAACATGCTTTCCATCATGCACGGCTGTGAAAACTTTCAGCTTTGAGGTCTGAGATGGAGAAAGAGGAGATGCTTAGCTGAAAACACTTAGCACGCTTGAAAGTTGGCGGCTAGAGAACTCTGAATGGGCCAAGGCAGAAGATGAAGAAAATGAAAATGGATGCCCAGGAGATGTGGAAGAAAGATCGGGCTGCTGAGGCCAATATGCAGCTTGGTGGAAATTTCATGCATGTTGTTGGTGCTTTTCCTTAGGAGGAAGTAACAAGGACGCTACTAGGTTGGAGGCCATTACTACAAGGAACAAGAAGCTGCTAGTTGCTACTCATAGTAACAGATAGCATCAGCCCGTGACCGAGGGAGACGACACTGCATAAAGTGCGCTCTGACAAAGAGCACGAGCAACCATCCTGCAAGATGAGCAGGGTTGAATTGTGTCCTAACTTTCGGTATTCCAAGTGTTAGGAACAAGGACGCTGCTAGGGGCTCCTTGGCCTTACTACTAGGAACGAGAAGCTACTAGGGGCTCCTGGCATCGCTACTAGGAACAAGGACACTACTTCAGGGACTGCATCAGGGGAACCAACGGGATCTCAGATGTTTGGGCCAGTGGCACCGAGGAAGCGCCAAGTGGAGGAAGTGGACGCGGAGCTGCGCAGAGCCCGCAAGCGACTTCAGAAGGAGCGACTTCATAGGGATGGCCTCCAACCTAATAGCAAGCGGCACCTCATAGGAGCGACGGGTGCTTTTGGATGGGACTTGGCCCAATCCAGAGAAAGGATGCTGAAATACAGTAATACATCCAAGATGTTCAGAGAGGTCATCAAGAGGTCAGTATAAATTTTACAAAGTTGGCCGAAGCTGACTGGGGCCATCTGGGGTCCGGAGGCACAAGTGAAATTGCAGATTGCAGAGCAGCAGGGCAAACAGTTGCTCAGCCGCAAGATGCCAGCTAGTCACTAGCAGTGAATGACGCAGTACAGGGTTCCTCCCACCGAGGCAGCAGCTGGACTATGAACAGAAGATGTATCAGGCAGCCAAGCCTACCTACCAAGCTGCGTGCCATCAAATGTTTGCTCGGTTGGCATGCGGCCAACATTGTTTCACACATTTGCCGTGGGTGCTTTGCTCAAGCTATCTGAAGCTCCATGTTGAAGTAGGTCCAGTAGGTGTAGTTGGAAGTAGAGTCCGCAAATCCGCACTAGCCCCGGGATGGGCTTCTGCAAAATTTTGTGTCAGGGCCTTCTCATTGTCATTCCCATTTTCGTGGGATGGTTTGTCACAGGCTATGGTGAAGGTCCTCACTCTGTGCGACAGGTGGGGCTTACCGAGTTTGCCCTTCCGGAGAACTATGATGAATTCAAAATCACAGAGCAACACCGGGAGGAATTCTTCCGGGATGGCGCCAGTCTTTTGAAGGGCGTACTGCGGCCCTCTATGGTTGCGAAGCTTCGCGCGGTGGTCGAAAGGAGGCAACCTCAATTGACCCCACCCACTTCAAGCAATTTGTGGATGGACTCGGACGAACTCTTGGATTTCTACCTTTTTGGGCCTCTGGGTGGCATTGCAGCACAACTTTTCCAAAGCCGAGATGCTGTTACTAGTCACTTGGCACCATCTGCTCAGCTACAGAGGGATTTCATCAGCAAGAGATATCAGGAGGCCACCAATGGATGGCATATCGATCGCACTGAGTGCCAAGGTGGGGATCAGCCATCCAAATTTATGTCCACTGCTCTGCCAAGACTAGCAATTCCGCTAGATGCACAGGCTGTGCGGGGCACACAGATCATAAACCAGTCCAAGTATGCAGCTGCCCTGTCAGCAAAAGATGCTGAGCTATATTGGGCAGGAAAGGCACCTTATCGCCGCGAAGGGCGATTTGAGCCATTTTATGGCTTTGAGTACAACACAAGCGTGCCCATTTTGCCGGGAATCACTTTGAAAGAAGACATGATCATGGAACACTGGGTAGAACCTGGAGATGTGGTGATTTTTAACACCTGTTTGTGGCACAGATCGCCTGACTGGGCTGGCCCTGAGCCCGAGCTAGGCTTACAGCCAACTTTTGCACCTTCTTCTCATGTACCCAAAGACCCACCGCAGGTCAAGGACCTTGGAGGCTCCTGGTGTAATCATGGATTGGGTGATAAATCCATCGCCGGTGGCAGCCCCTGCTTTCCAACGGCTTTCCCAGAAGAGGCTCGGCCCAAGAAGGGCTCCACCTTGGCATTTCAAAGATATCCAACTCCCCAATTGCGCCATGTTTTGGCCAGCTACCTGCGCATTCGCATCACCGACAAGCTGCGCCGATTCTGGTTGTCATAGGTCTCACTGCAGAAGAGCAGGGGGTTGGAAAAAAGTGCACTTCTTTGCTATGCAACATGCATATGTAGCATATATCATATAGATGTATACATATGTCTATGTAGAATTTGCACATCAGTATGTGTTTTTGTTGTTGCGTTCCTTCATTTTTCTCCCTTCCTTTCTTCTTTTCCTCCCTTAAGATATTTTGCTCCAGAGATGGTGTGGCAAGTTTTCGGCTTTGTGCATAGATGTGCGTAATGCATCACGGAGCCACATGCAAGGCCAACGTCAAGGCAGAGGAGCATGCACAGGAAGAGGTTGAGAAGCTACAGATTGAGTTCCACCAGCTGCATGAGGACAAGAATGCCAAGATCACAGAGTTGACCCTTGGATTAGAGAGGTTACGCTTTGGCCTTTTTTGACTCAGACCGTCGATTGTCTCGGATACTTGTGTATTCCTGGCCTAGGAGCCACAAGCTTGAGGAGACGAGAGCTGGCAAGCTGCGCGGCTCGTAACTACATCCTGCATCAAAAGTGGCGAGATACGAGAGACTCTGTGACGCTGCGAGACGATCATGTCATGTCATGTCAATGTGTGGCATGGCGGGACTGGCAAAAAGGATGGTTCGTCCATGTTCGTCCGACTTGAACTTGTTTTGACCGCTAGGTGATGTTCCACTGCACAGATCGGGGCTGCTTCAATAGATCAATCAGAGTGCCATCCTGATCCTTTGATCATTTGTCACAGTGAGTGTTTTTCGGAAGCTGAGCACTCAAACAAAGGCTCAACGCCTGGAGGATGTCAAAACGGTGAAGCTGAAGATGCGAGAGTTGCAGGCCGCGCTTGTGATCACAAGAGTCCTTGGAATCATGCGGAGAACAGAAATTCTGTCAGGATCGTGCCAGAACACTCACCTATGAGGAAGTGACAGCAGAGTTGAAGGATCTTCGCAAGAACTTTGCGCAGCCAAGCAGCAAGTCAGCAAGCGATGAGTCACAGTACAGCTTGTAGGACACTCTGTAGATGGAGGGCGTATTGTGTGGAGGGTTGAGGATTGCCCTTTTGAGGCGCCACAGAGGCGGAGTTTATTTGAACCTTTTGCTGAAGCCTGAGAAGTCTGAGAAGCTTCTGAGAATCACGTTGGCTGATGTTGTTTTCATGACTGACACTACTTTGTGCGACTAGTTGTTCCTGGTTGCAACTTGCAACATGGAATTCACGCCCGCTGCCGCTGCCCGCTTGCAGTTGTTTATTTTCTGCAAATCATCATCCACCGTTTGCTCGTCATGTGCCTTACCACACGCCTTACCCACACGTCAAGCTTGGCAAATGCGGCAAAAGTGAAGAAAGATGATATGGTATCAGGTGAAGACAAGCATCTCCAGAGCCGTGAGTAGAAACCACATCAGTCAGTTTCACTGATCAACATTCAACTGCAAAAAAAGAGGATTCAACCTGTTTGCTTTTGCCTTTTGCTTCATTTCTCTCCGCCATGCGTGTCCATGTCTTGCTCACGCTGGCCTTGGCAGAGGCTGCCCAGTGGCCAGCGCAGGTCAGGGGTGCAAGCCGTGCACTGGAAATAGTCATTTCATGTCATTTCTGTTTCTTCCTTAGGCCTTCCTTGCTTTTTTTGTTTGAGTTGTACACTTTGACCCTTGACTCCTTGATATTTAGCTGATCGCAGAATGCCCTGCAGGTGATCCAGTCTTGTGGCTTCTCTTCACCAAATGCAGTGGTCAGCGATGTGGAGGGCTCGCTCACCTTGTCAGTTCCAAAGTTGTGCGGAGCAACTCGTCATGCACGGGGAGATGTTGTTTGCTTATTACCGGTTTGTCTCAGCTTGTGGTAGCACGATGCCTATCACGGCTCTAGAATTGGTGAGTGCAACACACAAAGTGCTGGTGCCTAGGGTCAGCGGCAGTGGGTCAGGCTTGCCATTGCCTTGAGGCCGTAAACTATCCCTGTCGGCATGCGCTGTTTGCCGCTGTGAACGCCATGCGAGATGATGCCTTCAAGGTGGCCCTGAACCAGGACACGAGTGATGCCTTGATGGACTAGATGACAGATGTGGGTGGAAACGCACTATAGTTATATACCAGAGACTGTGACCTCACAAGGCTAAGGCAACCGTTCGAATCGCCGCTGCATTGGATGCAGGATATCTACAAGTGTGCTCTTCCATGGGATCGGCAAGAAAAGCTGGTCATGGCATCCTTCGTGGTCCAAGGCGGTTTGAGGTCGATTGAGGCCTTTGTATGTTGATGGTTGGAGTTGCAGGACTGAAACCTCAGCAGTACGGCCAGTGGGGCACATGGCTTGGCAATGCATTTGCCCATTGCCCAGACCTGTCAGGAGAAATGCAAGACACTTGAGAAGAGAGAGAAAGACAGAGAGGGAGAGAGAATGAGCAGCGATCTTGCTACTAGTGACTCAAGACTCAAGTTGTCTCGCCACACCATGCCAGAATCTGCCAGAAAGCACCATTCAATGCGCAATAGTTGTTGAGCACAGGATTTGAGCCAAAAGCTTCCACCTCCTACCCCGATGCCGGCGGGATCCGCTTCTTGGTGAGTGGAACTGGAACAGCGCATGACAATGCGAAAATCGAGCAATGCTTGGGAAGCAATATGCAGGCAAGGGTGCGAACACTTCAAACACATGACATCATAGAGAGCTGCTTCCAAAGAAATGAATAAATGCCAGTAACTGGAAGCTGGCACTTGTCAACTAGTTCTATCTTCTATTTTATTATAAGCATGCTTTTTATGTGTTAGTGCATCGTGAGGGCAGCTGTCCGGCTGGCCAGGCCTCTTCAGGGTTGTCGTGGTCCCGCATCACCGTGTCCAACTTCGGCATCTCGAAAGTCGAGTCCGAGCCACTCTTCCAAATCGGCATGAAGAACTTCATGATCCTTTTGCGCTTCGGGGCAGTGCCTTGACTTTGCATTCTCTCATCGTGAGCCGAATGTGAGCCTTGCAAAAGAGTGATCAATCAATGTGATCAGTTGGACTGCCTTGGTGTAGGTCATTCTGGTGGCCTTGGGGTTGTATGGCATCGTGGCCGTTTGTGCATATTACAGTGGAGTGAAGTGGTTGCAGCCAATCTTGCTCTGCTGGCCAGAGGCGCATGGGTCGGGTCACGTCGCTGCGGGAAGAAGCGGGAAGAACACTTTTTGCATGGCAGGGTGAATTTCCTTTACTTGTTACTAGTACTGAATTTCCGTCTATGAACTGAGGACGGATACACCCTTATATGAAACGTCTTAAAGCTTATGAACCCTGGATGGGGCGAGTTATATACCTCCTGCATTTCAGAGAAATCATGGGAGCTCATGGATGCACTGATGGTTCAGATATGGCCAGTCTTGGAGCCTAGCACAAATTAAAAGGTGGGGTTAGCCGGTTAGTCCTCCCATTTGTCTAAAATTGGACACAAATTATCAGAATCTCATTATAAAGTTGATTTGTTTTACATGCTGTGAGGGGGTTGTGCAACCATGCTACTTAGTTATATTATATAAATAGATGGATGGATTGATAGATAGATAGAATTAGATAGAATAAGATAGAATTAGGTAGATAGATAAATAGAGAGGTTTATAATATACATATCCCCACCGCATTTGCACGAGCATGTTTGTTGCAAGCTCAGAGAGAAGCTGCACCAGCGCGAAAGCCAGCCGAAAGAAGAGGCTGAAGTAGTTTTTGTGAGCGAAAGGAGATGGCCGAAGATGTTACTAAACCATGCCAACCTGGGGGTGCTCATGGTGGAGGCCATTTTTTGTGTATAATAGATTCTATATACAGAAGATGCGAGCTCGGCTGGTGTGACCAACACCAACCCGCCAACAGCAGCAGTAGCAGCAGAAGCAGACCAGCACCAACCCAGCAAACCATGAGCAGAAGATCAGCAGCCCCGCATTGCACATTGGTGTGTTACTGGCTTTCGTTCCCCCCCTTCTCAGGTGCATATGTATGCGCAGGTTGAAGAAGCCTCGCGCTTGCTCGTTTTCACGGGGGGCTGCTGTAAGAATATTCTAAACCCATGCGTTGCAGAGCCTCAGTGTGTTTGTCACTCAGAATTCCTTTGGCAGGTGTGCGACGGCCGAGGGTGCTTCGTGTACCGTGTGCTTTGTTGTCCTTTTGTTTTGACACTTGAATGCAGCAAGGAAACGGCCCACTCATATCTTGTCTAGGTTCTATCGGATTCTATCGGTTCTATCCGATTACAACTGGAATTGCAAGAAAATAAGTAGCGGGATTGGTGCAACCAAGGATTTGGCATGCCTTCTACATATATTGCTTCCACTGCTGCCACAGCTACATTTCCTTCCTTTGTATGCCAGCATGCTTCAAGGGCATGTGCTGGGATGATTTTCAGGACTGCCAAACGTCACACCTGAATGAAGAGTTTGCTCTACTGCCTTGTGGAAGGACCCAGAGTTTCCCCCAAACGACAATAGCCTTGGAAAGTTGAAGGGAGACACAGCAACTTGGATGGGAAAGGGCCTGAAAGGGCTGTTCAAGCATCAAAAGAGCCACGTCGACCCCAGAGCCCCACTTTCGGATGTGAGGGTGCTCAAATGTGCTCAAAGAGGGCACCAGAGCTTCAGCCTGTGTAGAGCCATGTAGAGCCAAGGAAAGAGATGTTTGTTGCAAACAATTATGATTCCGCTGGTTGCGGATACCTTGAGGCTGAGTCCCAAGGACAATTGTTTAACTCTCAACTTGTTTCTCTTTAAACTGCGAGAAACAGTCGTTCGCAGCTTCGTTCGTTCGCCGCGCTCGCCGCGTTCGCTGCTTTTTGGGCCGAGGCCGGGGGTTTGATCCATCAAGGTGGTGGCACTGACTGGGTCCGAGCGGCCGAGATCGCAGAAAAGGACGGGTGGAAAAGGTTTGGATTTCTACTAGCTTCTTGTTACTACTAGTAAGGCACTTGTTACTACTAGCGTGGCACTTGTTACTAGTTAGGTCAAAGAATGAAGAAGAGAGACAACTGAGATTTGGTTCTGATATTTCTCTTGCGATATCTACTTTGACATTTGATGCCATTTGCACGATTGACAGGACAGTGAAGACCATCGAGGGGCACAACTTTTTGATGGTGGCATCGAAGCATCTGATTTGTTGCAGGCGCCATGAGCTTCTCATCGGACAAGCTGTTTGAAGATGCTTGAAGCGCGTCATCGCATTCTTTTGCATGGCTTTGCTGTACTATTCCTCGCAGGGTGCTCTTGGAGATTGTTGGCTGAGCCTCATCCAAATGTGGGATTGTTAGACCTTTAAAAGTGAGTAAGTGTTGCTCTTGAGTTCTTGGTCGTTTATGGCGATCTTTCCCATGCCTGCCATTCATTTGCGAAAGCTGAGGATCGCGGCTTTGGCAACTCGGCGACACCGGCGAGGGGCCACTGGCAGAACCCAACCACCGTCCTTTTGGAGCTTCCAAATTCGGCGACCAAGTAATGAAGGCAACAGGACGAATCAAGGATGAAACGTGTCGTTTCACGCTAGTATGTCTAATATATGTCTCACTTACCTACCGTTTGGCTCAAGGAAAACCAGGTGTAACTACAGGTTATCAGCCGTATCGCCATAAGTGCGGTGCGTGCTTACTACTAGCTTTGGTCTCACCCCACCATAGATAGTGCACTATCTAGAGGCCGTGGCTGATGACGAAAGTTCCCGTGGTGACCGCTCACGTTCAGGCTACGTTCCCACTTCGCCTGCGATGTCCAGCTCACCTGCTCTCGAGCTCCCTGTTGTTCCGCTGGAGTTGCGTGCGCCAAATGTGCCACCGATGTTCAGTGCACAGGGGGACCTGCTGCCTAGTGTTCAAGCTCCGTCGCCTTTTCAGCCTGAGTTTTCTCCTGTGATGAATGTCCAGAATGTTGATGCGAGACAAATTCATCAACAAGCAGTTTTCGTCAATGAGGATAGGTCAGCTCAGGTATCAGGTAGCTCAGATTGCAGAATTGCGACATCAGGCTATTTTGGCCGAGCATGGGCAACAAGTAGCAGATGATGCTAGGCAATATAGAGACTTAGTGGAGAACCAAGCTAGGGCGGCTATCCAGGAGTCTGGGGAACAAATCGAGGCTTTTTAGCCAGTCAACGTTTGAGTGACATGAACCAAGCCCACCAAAATCAACAACTTCATGATCAAAGGGCTTATTTAGATCGCCTCCAGAAGAAAAGAAGGGAGTATGTTTTGACTTCCAGAAGACCGGAAAATGCCAGCGCGGATCATCATGCCCTTACAAGCACGAAAAAGGCCGCGAGAAAAGCAAAGGAAAGGGAAAGGGCAAGGATCGCAGTCAGTCTCGATCAAGATCACTGACGCCAGGATCTCGCAAGGAGACTTGCAAATTCTGGAAAGCAGGACATTGTCATCGAGGAAAAGATTGTGCGTTCCAGCACCCTGAAAAGACTGTCCCTGCGAAGAAAGAGGACAAGAAGAAGAAGAAGAAGAAAGATAAGAAACCGCGCAAGCGAAGCAGCTCACGAGGATCGTCAGGCTCCGACAACTCAACTGGCTCGGAGAGTCAGCGGAGGAAAGGTGGGAAATCTTCTTCTTCCAATGCACCGGCAGCGGTCTGCCTCCTACGAGCAGTGGTCATGGCCGCAGTGGTCTCTCAAGGATCCTCCGTCCTCATCACTCGCCCGCTGGGAAGCGTGGCCATGCCAGTCCTTTCCGCATCAAACACTATGTGCACCGATTTTGACAACACAGAAAACATTGACAGTTTTGTTACGCAAAGAGTTCGTTTTGACGATCAACCAAACATTTTTAGTCATGCTGTTGAGTCTTCTTCCAGTTGGAGATCCATTCAACCCCGAAGTAAGAAGAAACGAAGATCCTTTACACCAGGTCGACCGGAGCATGCTGAAGCAGTTCGTGTCGCTACTGAAGATGCGTCCATTGCAGCCTCACACCTTCAGAATGCTGTTAGGAACGAGCTTTTGTCCTTGCCGGCGGAATGTTCGTACCTGTGCAACTCCGATATAGGTTGCATCAAGTGTTTTGAGAAGAGGTCATGTCCAACAGTGCCTGCCACTGAGATTGCATGGATCGCTGACACTGGGAGCGCACACGATCTTGTGTCTAGGCACATGCTTCATTCGGATGAGGTGTCTCAATCGTCCAAACCGGTCAGTCTTCTTACTGCCAACGGAGTTTTTCAAGCCACCGACCAAGCAAGAGTCAATGTCCCCGTGTTGGGAGCTGACATCAATCCGTACGTCCTAGACGATAGCCCAGCCGTCGTGTCGGTAGGACAACGCTGCATTGATGCAGGATGGAGCTTCCATTGGCCCGCTTACAGTAGGCCATACTTCAAGAAGCCAAATGGCACTAAAGTCAAACTTGAAGTAGAGGACTATGTTCCATACTTGCCATCAACAACTGGTGTTGCGATGTCCGCCATAGGTCAACCGTATGGTTCGAACGAACGGTCGGGGGGGACCACGACCAATCATCCCTCTGCCAGTCGCCAGCTGAAGAGGCAATTGAAGTCTATGACGACGATGACAATCCCATCGGCGAAGATCCTGTTGAAGATGATCCTGAGCCAGTGGATGAAAGGTTGGTGGAAAAGCCGTTGGACCCGAAGAGGGATAGGGGAGAGAAAGCTCTTACGGAAGAAGCTCAGTCCGTTCAGCATCTGTTGACTCACACCCCGAAGAACCCCTTTTGTCAAGCTTGCTCGAGGGCAAAGATGACCAAGCGTCCATCGTATAGCAAGGGTGGTTCTACCCAGGTGGAGGCGGACCACTTCGGACAACATTTGACTGCTGACCATCTCGTTATTCGTGACGATGAGGAAATGGACATCGATGGGGCTCGCGTTGCATTGGTCGTGAAAGACGTAGCAACTGATTTCAGGTATGTTTACCCGGCCGCACGTCGATCGACGCGTGAATGCATAGCAGCCTTCAAGCATTTTGTCCGTTCAACTGATGAGGTAGGAGTATTTTATTCCGACAACTCACCAGAACTCATCGCGACTGCCGAAAGGCTAGGATGGAGGCATCAAACCAGCTTTGCATATGTCTCCAAGACTAATGCTATGGCTGAAAGATCAATTCGGTCCGTCATCGATGGAACGAGGGTAAACCTAGAGCAAGCTGGTCTTCACCATCAATATTGGGCTCACGCTGCAAGGCATGCATGCATGGCAAACAATATCGTCGACGCCCGGGAGGGTAGTTCGCCTTGGTCGCTTCGGTTCGGTGAGAAGTTCAAAGGCCCTTTGGTTCCCTTTGGGTTGAGGATTGATTACTGGATCGGCCCCAAGAACAAGGCCAAATCCTCTCTCAGGTTCGAGCCAACATCAAACCCTGGAATATTTTTGGGGTATGCCGTTCAGTCCAATTTTGTGTGGAGAAAGGAGTTCATGGTTCTCCCGTTGAAGGATGTCATGGAATCAGACTTCAGTGCAGAGATTCAACCATTGAGGGTCCATCAGATTGCCGTTCCCGACATCGGATTACACTTTCCATGTAAAGGTAGGTACAACATGATTAGAGAAGGTTTGTACCCTGGCATTACCATTTCGAGCAATCCGCCATCAATTGATGACGTCAAGGCTGCGAACATTGAAGAGCTTGTTGATCAGGAGGTTTTGAAACATGCTGTTGATCAAGAGTATGAACCGGATGAACCTCCAGAACTTCCCGATGTGCTTGTTGACGATGCGCCCATCGCCGCTCGCGGGTCGGGAGACCTTGCCGACGATCCGGGAGGTGAAGAGGTTGAAATGATTGAGGTTCTTGATCCCGTCACGGGTGAAACGACTTTGATCCCCAAAACCGATTCATCTTACTATGATGCCGGAGGTTACAAAGCAAGGAAGTATAAGGGTTCATCAAAACCACCTAGCATTCCTCCATTCCTATGGAAAGCCGCTTCTAAAGCGGAGAGGAAGAAGGCGATTGCAGAATATGAGCTCGAAGAGGCTCGGAAGCGCCTTCTTGCCGAAAGGAGCAAGCATAAAGCAGCCGTGGCAGAGATTGACGGCAAGTTGCGAAATTACAAGAGTGGAGACATCCCCACTGAGACGAAAATGGACGCCACCTGGGAAGGTGTGCCTTTGATGCCGGTTGAACATGAGGAGAAACAGCATTCACATAGAGAGAAAGGAATTCTGTATGAGCCATGGCTAAACGCCCTAGTGGCGAGGCCTGTAGGCCAGAAGGAAATCCGCAACACCCCAGATGCTCAACGTTCCCTCGACGTTGAGTGGGTGAAGCTGGAGTCCAAGCCCGCTTGGCTTTATGACAAGGTCCGCGAGTGGGATGATGTCTCATCCGAAGCAGTCCGTGCAAAAGCCAAGGTCCATGTAGGTAACGTTTTCGAACTCTGTGTTGAGAAAGGCAGTGAGCTTCCAAAGGGAAACCCCCTTAGGAAGTACAAAGGTCGGACGGTGTTCCAAGGGAACAAGGTCAAAGACGAGTCCGACATGGTTGCCCTCTTTTCAGAGCTGGGTTCAGCACCTGCGAACATGGAGGCGGGCAAAGCCCTCGACTGCTACGGCAGTGCGCCTGGGAATAAAATCACCCAAGGCGACGGCAAACAAGCCTACACCCAAACCACTTTGAAGGGGAAACCCACATGGATTAGGATCCCAAAATACCGATGGCCGAAAGCTTGGCACGGTAAGTATAAAGATCCTGTCATCCCGCTCGTACTTGCTCTCTACGGTCACCCAGACTCAGGTGGGTTCTGGGAGAGGCACTGCGAGGATTGCCTCGCGAAGGTCGGCTTCAAGGCCGTGCACCCCGAGTGCTGGCCATCGATCTTTTGGCATGACAAATTGTTCCTCTTGTTAGCCGTCTATGTAGATGACTTCAAAATGGCCGGGCCAGAGTCCAACCATGCGGAGGGGTGGAAACTCATTGGCACCCACATCGATATGGATACCCCAGAAGATGTAGGGAGGTACTCGCATGGGTTGTGATCATGTTGTCACGCATGGCCTCAAATTGTCCACTGATGATCACCCATTCGCGCATGTTTTCGACCATAAACTCGAAGATCCTGCTAGTAAGCCAGCGGCTCCCGTCCGCCGAACACAGGATTACTGGATTCATTTCCCTGAGCATGGAACTTTTGTGCACCACCACGTTCAACCCCGACGACGCTTTGAAATCAGGCCTGCTGGCGTTGAAGGGATGTTCGATCCTGGCGATCTAAGGTACACAGAGTATGTTCCGTGCACGGAGGGATCCGCTGCCAAGGACACGGGGGGGTACCTCGTGTGTTTGGCGCGACACAAAGGTTGACCGGCAACAGGGATTGCCTTTTTGGTGGACAGGGGGGGACCTTCTTCATCGACAAGCACATTTCCGACCCCAAGATGGCTGTTGCAGCCGTCAAAAAGCTGAGGGACAAGAGCCAGGCCAAGA